TGAGATGATGCCACTTTTAGAGAACAACCAACCCAGATCTTGGAAAGGAAAGAACATGTTCTAAGGAACAAAATTATACCTTTGGTAAAGATTTGTTGGCAACACCATTCAGACTAAGAGGCAACGTGGGAAAGAGAAGAAGATATGCGAGAGCAATATCCTCATCTATTCTATTAAGGTAAGTTAAATTTGGGGACCAAATTTTTTATAGGAGGGGAGAAATGTAATCAAATCAAATATTTAAGTTAGGAATTGATTTTATTTCCTTACTTGTTATTATAATTTAAGGAAATCTTAATCTACTTCCTTGTTTGTTGATATGAATTAAGGAAACAACTATTAAAATAATTTATATTAAATAAATATGAAAATTAAAATGAATTTCCCTTAATAGAGGCTCACCTCCTCCTATTTAAAGGGGAGGGATTTCTCTCCTTCGTTCCTCACCTAGTCGAGCCTAGCAGCGGGAGGAACGAGGAGTTACACCCTGTTGACAAAGAACGAGGAGTTACACCCTGTTGACAAGAGGTAGGTTTCCCTACCTTTCTTAAATTTAAAAGTTTTAGCTTTTATTTTGATTCTTTAAATGTTGAAAGTTTTATAGTTTAAAAAATATGTATCAATTCTTTAAATGTCAATTTTTTGTATTAAAGTAATTGGTTAAAGTTGTGATAATATTCTTTGACCCATGATTAAGGTTTTTATTATAGAATTAAATATGTTTAAAATGTATATGTTTTATATGATATATTTTCTATATTACAGTTTATCTTTAATCTTATCTGGATTAAAATCTAGACTAGAATATGTTATCTAAAATCTTTTTTTGATATTCTTTGATCTGAAATTTAAAATATATTATTCTGAATGATTTAAAATATGACTAGAATATGTTGAAATTTTATGTGTTGAAAACATGATTTTTATTTGAATTTAGAGGCCTATTTCCTTGTATTAAAACATATCTCCTAGTCCCTCTTTTAATGTCTTATGATTTCTAGTTAAATTGAGAATGTTATTTCCTTGTATTAAAGCTTTTCTCCTCATCAATCTTTTAATGCATTATTATGTTTTTATTTATGTTGTTAATGGGTATATGCTATGATATGAAATTAAATATTAATTGGAATGAAATTGCTTACAGGCTAGGCCCAACCCACGGGTCAGGCCTTGGCTCGTAGGCTACCCTAGCCCAACCATTATGGGTGGTCACATGTGACGCACATGACTAGTCCATGGGCTAGGGCTGGGCCAGTTTTGTGTAATGCATGTTCAATCATGTATAATGCACATGACCAGTAGATGGACTGACTCAATCTAGCCTAATATTATTGTTGAACTTGAGCCCAAATATTGATTGAACTAAACTAGACTTGATTAGTCTAGATCAATTTAGGGTGATTCCGAATTGATTGACTCATTCAAGTTAGTTTAACCTAAATTGAACTTAATCTAGTCTAAATTATACTAGTCTAGGGTGGTTCCAGACCAGTTAAATAAGGATTAGAGATCAGTTCAGTTAGGCTCTAGTAAATCGAGTTTAATTGAATCGATTAAACTAGAGTTGAAGTCAATTGAGGGCTAATTTATATTATTTGATATTGATGATATTTGAAAGAGATGTTTTAAATATGTTATTTCATCCCGAAATGGACATGACCAGTGTGATATTATATTATTTTCATGCCGAGAGCAAGTAGGGTGATTCCCTTCGGGGATTAGCGGGCCGTCAGACGTGGCGACTGGACGGTTCCTCCATTCGCTGTTGGGAGGAACGTGTCCCCACTTTGGCGGGTGTGGGACACCACTCCATCCGCTGTTAGGAGTGCGATATGAGTTTGCCTCCATCCGCTGTTGGGAGAACACAAACTCATCCCGTAGGATAAAGCCTCTCCATCTGCTGCTGGGGGAGTGCTCTTTCGGGTATTTGATATACGTCAATAGGATGATTGATTGAAATTTGATCATGTATACATTTTGAGTTGACTTTTGGGGTTCCTACTCAACGTTGCTGAATTTTCTTTGTTTTTGATTTTCAGAGCAACCTCCCTCTAATACTAAATTGGATTCCAGTGGAGAGCGGAGCTTCCTCTACCGCTAGGTAGAGCCACTTGGATGATTCTTGAAGTTAACATCACTATGCTTATCTTTCTATTTATGATTCGATGAATAAATGGATTGTAATAAATGAATTGTAATAAACGTTTATGAATGATGAATAAAGTGATATTTATCTATTTGGCCTAAATATGTGGGCAGATATAAAAAAAAAAATCCGAGATGTGACATCTTTTTATGGTATCAGAGAACTCATCACGGCGTGGAGCCACAACTGAGTTAATCCTCACATGCACTATGCTAGGGTTCGATCTGGGATATGTTGGACCTTGACGAGGACGTCAAGCTAATTGAGTTGGGGATATTGTAACATCTCATTAGTCCCACATCGGAAGTGGACAATGTGTATGATTAACTTATAAGGGCCTAATGAGTGTACTATGTTAACTCCCGTTTAAGTATTTTGGTCCGTGGTTGAAGGACCAAAATGAAGTTATTAGCCAGTTGGCTCATCAGACTCGGGTCGTGACAGAGCCGACATAGCATTTGGGCAAGCATGGAGTTAATCCTCACATGCACTATGCTAAGCCCCTATATCTTACCTCCGCGAGAAGAGCAAACAATGTGCACTTCCGCGAGAGACAGCCGCCGAGATCACATAACACTTCGCTCGTAGCAATTTTGCTTATTTCTCGATTCAGTTTCTAGAATCACAATTGAATGTTCATGCTGTAAAAGAGGAAATAAGTCAAAAAATGACGATCTAGAGGGAAATCAGTTGATGAAAAATAGCAAATTAATTCTCATTCATAATTCTGAAGGTGTATGCGATTATCGATCCGTACCCTAAAATCGAAAATATTTTATTTTCTAGAAAGTATAAAAAACTAATCATAAATCTTACTCTAATAATCGACAATAAATCAAAAGGAAAACACAAGAAAATATAGATCACAGAAATAAAGAATCTGAAATGAAGCTCCTAGTGTTAACATCGAACTAAAAACTCCCTAAAAACTGACTGATCCGGATAGAACTGATGCAGAAGAGAACGAGACCAATCATAAGAATAACAGAAAAGAGAGAGCGAGAAAGAATCATCGATCAAAAATTAAGCGTCGCAAGTTGCGATTACACCGGACGAAGGGACTCGAGAGCGAGAGAGGAAGAAATCAACGAAGCCGACTTCTAATTATTCTTTTTAAATTTCGAAAAGGAAGTGGAAATAGGACGGAAGCCGCCAGAAAGCACGCATCCACTGCCATTCATCCGAGGCGGCTTTCCTGTCCGCCAATCTATACCGTTCAATGATAAACGAAGGGCGTATGACGCGGCATGGGTCCCAGCGAACCGCGGTCAAGTTTCCCTCAAACCTCGAAATAACATGACGTTTTAACGGCATTCGATAACGGCGTCAAATTCTAACGCCTAACGCCACTCGCACTGCATAGAACGGGTGGCCAACAGCGAAACGGAACATCATATGGCGAGGACCTCCTCGTTGAACGGAGGACGTGACCAAGAGAGCTGCTCTGGCCGCCATTCATCGCAGAATCAAGGAACGGGAGCGGCTCGCAGTGAATGCGATGATCCCGTTTTGGTGAACGGGAAACGGAGGCCGAAAGAGTGTACAAAGGCCATTGATGAAAGTGGAGCTACAGGGAGAGAGGCATTTCGTTGATCAAGACTCGCAGGTCGATCGCACTCTCTTTGTTCTTCTCGAATAGTAGAAGACGACGATCCGAGAAGGAAAGATTCTGGATACAGAGAATTCTGTTGCTATTCTTCCAAGTATAGAGTTTTCTTCTTTTTCTTTTGGTTGCAGTGAATTCTCCTGTTAAATCTCATTGCATCCCGTTACGATTAGAGTTTGATCCAAGGATTTAAAAGGCTTTTGAGCGATTGGGTGGTTTGCATTTCGTCAATGATTGGATTTGTTTGAAACTGCCGGATGAATTCTTCTGATTCATTATTTGTTGTTGACTTCAAGATTTGCGGGGGACAATTGAGGAGCTTTCAGGACTTGATCTGTCGGACTGTTTGATATTGGAGTTCAGCAACGAAGTTGTTCTAGCCCTTCTTGAAGGTGAGTTCCGTTGTGCTGATTCAGACTTTTCTCTTTATTACTATTTTGTTCGTTGTAATCTACCAAGGAAAAATTTGATCTCTTCAACGTTTTAAACAGATGCATTTTCCTCCTAGTATCGATCCGTGAATTCCTTTGTTGAATCGTACACGAAGAAGCGGCGATCTCTGGATTACTTACGCGAAATCTGGTGAAATCCCCACGAAAACAGGCGAAATCAGGACATTACTCAAGGGTCATCATTTTAAACCTTTTGATGCTCTTGCAACAGGCTTGCAAGAAGAATTCTAGGTCTTTCCTTGGCCTTACACTATGTTGTCAATATGTTGTTCATCTCCACAGACCTAAAACTCGAAGAATCCTCAACGAAGGCAACCAAGATCTTGGGTGTCGGAGCTACTCAAATCAGGGACCTCCAGTTCACTACCGCTGTGATCTCCTTTCTATTCCTCTTTGGAAATTGATTTCCTGCCCTTGGAAGACAAAGAAACTACACCTTCTCCGCAGGCAAGGTACAAGATCACAAAAAGGTAGAATTTTCTTTTTCGTACTACTACTGGTCAATCATTCGAGGCTATTGAAATCTCCGTGCCTTTTTGTTAGATGTTTTCTTCTCCTCACTGTCCTCTCTGATCACAGTGATTCATTAGTCTCTTTGTAGTTCTCCAGCCGCCCTTTCGCTTCTGTAATTTTCTGTATCAAAACAGGGAGCGAGGAGCGATTTTCGCCTATTCATTGCATGTCGAACGAAAGCTCTCGAATTCTTCTCACTTGAGACCTGGGGAAGCATTACGCCAACTCCGGGGCTTCGTGCCCAAATTCTTCTTCTCCGCTTTCTTTTCGTCACGGATCCATCGGTATCTCTCTCGTTTGTCTAATTCTGGCTCTTCTTTCATTATACTTTTCCTTACAAGTTTCCTCCTTTCTCCTCTTCCATCTTTCCCACTGCAGTCGCTCATTCTTTCAAATCCCATTTAGTTATCCAATTCAAAACTCTTGCCTTCTTCATTGCCCCTCTTCTCTTTCTTCTGGTCTCTTCCAGTTCCGTCTTCATGGCAATGAGAACAAAATTGCCTCTCCTGTCGATGATTCATCGCGTACTTGGTTGACACTGCAGGAGATGGAAAGGGAGGCGTCGAGGTATCGCTGTCGCGTGCGACGTAAGGGAGGAGGAGGTGGTGGTGGAGCAGTCGAACCGTCGCCTACGAACGATACCGACAGGAAGGGGGCATTGTCGCCGGAGTTGCTGTTGCAGTGGGGGAACCGGAAGCGACTACGGTGCGTCAAGTTCCAGCGCAGGGACGATGACGCCGCAACCGGCCTCCACTCCACCACCGCTGACATTGCCACTGCCCCCGCCGCCGCTGCGGCCGCTCGCGTCGACCGCGCCCTCCGGGGAGCCACCTCCGCCGCATACAAGCGGGTCCTCAGGTACGGCTCTTCCCAGCCCCTTTTTTAGCATGTGTTGTGTTCTCCCCATGGGTAGCTAATTACCATCTGCCACTGTGTCCGGGTATAGGGAACCGGTGAGGTCACTGGGGCACGTCTTCCATTTCTGTTTTTTTTTTTTTTAATCCCAAAATCCAACCGCGAATGCGGGAGACGAGGGAGAGGTCGATCACCTGCCGTCGGTGTCAGAGCAGGTGAGTGGAGAGAGAAGCATACTCGTTTCATCTCAGTCCACGTCATCCTTTTCGCACATTCCCAAGATTGGTTACTTGGGGAGGGGGACGAGCACGTGAGTGGGAAGACCGGGTCTTACGTGTTTTTTCTGGGTCCATTTTCTCCGTAATTTGGTTTTTTTTTTTCAGCTTTTTAAATACTTTATTTAATTATGCAAGCCTAAATAATAAATGATTGCTTAAAATTATCTCCTTTTAGTATACCATTGTATATAAATTTGTAGGTCTTGCGTTAACATTACTTTTTTAATTTGTTTCGTTGAGATAAAAGATGCCACGATCCGCTAAGCATGTTTCTTTGTTTGTTTATTCTTGCAGGAACAATTCAGAAGCGACGGGAGTTGCTACAAGAGCTAAACGTGAGGTGAGGGACAGGGTCGGCGGGGGGTCGGCTTACACTGAGGGGACGCATGAGAATAAAAGCGGTGGCGGCGGCGGAGGTGGAAGAAGAGGAGGATCGCCGTCGTCTGGGAGCGACGGGGCTGCAACAATATGGTCCAAGTTTTCTCTGGCATTGACGAACAAGGAGAAAGAAGAGGACTTCTTGGCATTTAAGGGGTCCAAACTTCCCCCGCGCCCCAAGAAGCGAGCTAAGCTCCTCCAGCGGACAATCAACGTGAGCTCGCTAGCTCCTCTTCTTCGTCTTCTGTCCATTATACTTATTATTTTGAGCGTTCAATGATTCGGTGATTGTTTTTTTTGGATAAATCATTTATAACTTTGTTAAGAGCATTGCTTCTCTTGGAGAAAGGAAATGGGGCCACTTTGTGACCCATGTGTGTTTCACTGCTTGTTCTAAATAGTAGCACTAAGACAGGATGGTATTTGCGTTTTTGTTTTTGTTCTTTTGTGGTGTTTGTTGACCGTGAAACAGTGGGTGATCGGGTGGAAATTCGGTGGTGGTGGTGGTTTGTCTTCATTTCGTCGGACCAGAATTTTCCATGAATCTATTTATACTTTGTTTTAACGATTGGGTACATGAGGTCATCTCTTTGTTTTGTGTGGTTGTCGTCGATATGATTAGAAGAAAGCGGTTGTATTGTATTCCGCAGAAAAGATGTGGTGGGTGGATGGTTCTTTGTTTTGTAAGAAAGCACGAAGCGCTAGACTTGGTGCTTTACACAATTGAAATATGGACTGTGTGTTCTATGAAGGTTGTGATGCTTGGGTCAGACGATTTTGCCAAATAGCCGCTTCCATCCTCTAGATTAACAGGGACCAACTGTTTAGGCTTTGCGTCAAAGATAAGATTTTGCTACTGCGGTAGAAGACCTGTGTGCTGCCTGGAATGATTAGGATTTATGAACATGTTAGAGTCACAAGCCCTGGGCTCACAAAAGGCAGCTGCCCATTTAATAGTCGATTTGTAATTTGTCTACTTCTTGTTTATTTCCTGGTTAGATTGCAAGTACACTTAGTTTGCCTCTCTGCAAAGAAAGATCTTCTTTTCCAACAGCATGTAAGATTGTCTTTCTTTTTGTCTTAGTAAATAAGGTGGCATATCTTGATTATATCCAGACCTCATATTGTTGAGGGCAATATTTGGCGTTTAGGAATACCAGACCCGTACTAGTCCCTGTAGGATTTGTACATGGTGTATCAACGTACGGTATGTTGGTATGTATCGTGGAACTTTTTATAATATCAAAGTATACATGGTAATGGAAGGCATGTGCTGCAGTCCATGCCGCTGACCCAAGAGATCACATATTTGGGTGGGTAACATGTAGAACCATGGTTGAGAAACTTTTAAACTGTACCATCATTTTTTAGGTGTGTAACTTAGTTTCGTGCAATATTCCTAGCTGTTCATGGTCTCATATTTCAGTTTTCTGAAGATATATACATGTATGTTATATACAAATCTACATGACGTGTTGTGTCCTACATCAATGGAAAGCATCACATATTTGCTAAAGGATATCTGAATTCTTTTACAAGTTATAGTTTTGGTCGATGGCCTTTTTCTCTTTTGGCCTTGACTTGCATAGAAGATTAGGTCATTTAGATTTTGTTAATTGTGATAAGTAATTTATCTGTCTATGCATTTACCTTGCCCTTGGAAAAGTTGCAATTTTCAAGATAACAATACTCATTATATATCTTGCTGAATGAATATCCAAAATGAAGTAAATCATGGACTAGCATTCTCTACGCTATGCATAGAATATTGCACATATGGTTGTCAGTCATAAATCTTGTTCTCACATTTTTCTCCTTTATTTCAAAATTTAATAAGATACCATTTAACAAAATTTTTCATTCTTTGCTTGTAATTTTTATCAGAGCCATTTTTGTTTAAGCATTCATCGTGAGGTTTTTAGAGTGTTCTAACTGTACTAGTAACATTATCTTAACTGAAATTGGTAATGAACATTCTGTTATCTTAAAGATTTGTGGATTTCTCCATATTACACAAATACTACATGTGGAAAACACAAAAATGTTGGCCTAGATGTAACTTATAGGAATTTAAGAATGTCATTACAAGCTTTGGACATACATCCAATTCTTTAAGCAGAAGATGAGACAACTTTATGCATGAAATGGGCAAGGAATGCTTCATTCTCCCTAAACAGAAAGGAATTAGAAAAGAATGGAAAGTGACTTCAGAAATTTTATTCTTTTTTATGATGGTGTGGAAATTCTACAAAATCTACTTTTCATCATCATAGATTCATGTAATTTACAGCTGTCAAGTGTCTAAAGTGGTTGATGTGGAATGTGCATTATATGTTGCAACATGTCACGATGGAGCATCTTGTAAAATGTTGTACCTTGATAAATGTTAGTTTGTGCTTGCTTGTGCCAATCCATTAGGTATTTTGTAGCAGAATAATGGCTGCATTAGTGCATGACTACACAGTGATGGAAAAGTCTTCTTCCAGAGCATGAACCTGCATAGCATGGTACAATAGCGAACCATGCTATGCCATATGGTGCCTACCCATCACCAGATTCTTGAATGTTTGTCTTTAGCATAGTCTAATTTTGTGTATGTTTATTTGGAACTGGATATTTTGATCCTCTAACATTGCTCATAAGTTATTGCATACAAGAAAATAACAAGAAAAATAATTTTGGAGTTTCTCTTTGAAGACTTCCCAAGTGACTTCACTGACAATTTCTGTAGCCAAGCTATTTATTCTGCCATAACAGCATCAGGCACTTATCGCTAAGCATCATTGCAACTCATGAAAACTCAGCTATATATGGAAGAAGATGGGCTTAATATTGTTGAAACTTATATTAATTAACACCGCATATATCTTATATTGGCTTGTTCTTTTTATCATTGACATGTCTATATGTATCTGGGTTCCACTGCTGTGCCAGAATACAGTGGGCCTCGAATGACTCATGGCCTGTATCTTGGCGTAAGATTGTCTCACTCTAGTACAACACTAGTCATTATTTTGTGATAAGATGAGGACCACCAACCTAGCTCTTTTGTCCAAATCTATTATAGTCCTCGTAAAGTTCTCAGTCAATTGAAATCTTTTTCCTCAGTTTGTGGATTTTCTGTATACCATATATGGCCAGTACCAAACAGGGAAGGACAAGCATGAAAAACAACTTTCGTTGATAGTGTTGAGATTTATTGTTCAGAACTTAGAGCTCTTCTTTTAAGGAAATATCAGAGCCTTTTATGAGTTAAACAATGATGTGTTGCTCTATAATTATGAATCTACTTATTTGTATCCGTTGAGAATCAAAATCTTGTACTTTGATTTAATTTACCATGGTATACTCTGAACGCTTCTTATGATTAATCGCATTTAAAGTAAAGCTTCTACCTGCAGTGGCTACCAAACTGATGTAGTCCAAATATACATCATAAGTTGCAGGATGCATGGCTTTATGTTATTTAATTTTTTCTTATTGTTTTCATGATTGTTTAACTTTATTTTGCCCTTTTTTGAAAAGTTGGTGAGCCCAGGTGCATGGCTTTGTGATCTGACATTAGATCGGTATGAAGTCCAGGAGAAGAAGATATCAAAGAAGGTTTGTAGTTTCTTTCCGCATACAATTAGAATTAAAAACTTCAGAATTTGTCAGAACAGAAATGATTAAATTGACAACCGCAACACCTTTGGTTTTTTGTTCTTATCTGTTCTTTTACAGAGACCAAGGGGGTTAAAGGCAATGGGAAACATGGAAAGTGACTCAGAATAGCATAAAAGGAGAATAAAAAAAAAATTGAAAGAGCAATCAAAAGATTGAAGTCGTGTGCTAAAGTGGTTATATGCATGGGATGTTCAGAACTTAGGGTACCTTTGTTTTGTTCAGTTTAAAGATAAGATGAGGATGGGAAAGAAAGTAGGAGCAACTAGTGAAATTGTCAGAATTTTACCATTATGCAAATAGAAGTACCAGAAGCAATCTCATGTAGTAACACTAGAAGATGCAGATATCGAGCTTGTAATTATTTCTATTTGTCTTCCCTTGTGGTCTCTTTATGGTTAATGAAACTATTCAGGATGAAGGAATGCCATCTGTCTTGTTGTTGAGTAAGTCTGATGTATTTGGTTACAGTCAAGCTAGCTTTAGCTGTGCTGTTCGTTTTTCCTTTTTCCCAGCTTATCATCTACTAATCTGCATCTTTTGGTCAGCTTCTGTTAGCGTGAGATTGAGCAGGGTAAAGTCAGCATAGGATTGGGAGAAAATCAAATACAGGGATTACAACATTTTGGCCCCATCCCAGGTTTAGGCTACTGTTGATGGTGTAGAATTAGATTGTCTGGGATTCAACTGCTAGGTGAACCATTACAAGGTCTGTCTTGGTTGCCAAGTCAAACATGCTCAGGTTCATGATGTCCATTTGCAAAGGCATAAAGCCACCATTGTACTTTCAATTATATGTGTACCTCTTGTTGTGTTTTGAGGCTGCAGGCCACAGAAGCTTTCGTAGCTGGATTCTGGATCACAGGATGCCAGCTGAGACAGTAAGTTGGCCGGGTTGATGAATTCTTAGACACGAACTGCGTACATTCTCCATTTATGCACCTCTGATATTTTGCAGATCACATCTTCATGAGGTGCAGGTTGTGGCACTGCATGGGTACTTCAAAAAAAAAGTAACGTTTCCAGGTACTTCATTAATTGAGGCCATCTAGTTAAGATGTCTCCCTTCTAAATGATGGAACTTTGATGAGATGCCATTTGGATCGCCTGTAGCTTCCGGCACTTCGATTGTGAATTTGAGTAACATAGTTTCTCCTTGAAACGATAATATTTATGTCGCATTTATTTAGAAATAGTTGCCACTTGAGACAATAATATGCTTGCATAATTTTTTTTGTCGTTCTGCATGTAATTAATTGCCCATTATTTTGATCCACAAAATTCACAAGTTGGACTCCGTATTATTTCATTTCATCCGAGTTGGTCATCATTGAAGGAGCTGTAAACATCTAACTACTAATTATTTACTCAAACATTATTATCACCCATATTGATTACTTTGTTCTTATGTTCTTGCTTCTCATCCAAAATTTATTTTTTCTAATATTTTTTTTTTTCTGTCATGTTCAGTGTCATCACATCCCCCTCTATCGCTCGTTATCATCGAGGTCTTGTATCTCAGCTTCTGTCGTGATATTGATTTTAATTACTATATTTTAATTGTCCTTGTCTCTCTTAATAAATGAGTCTGGTATACCAACTCTTAATAAATGAATGAACACGGGATATTGTTTTTAATTACTATATTTTAATTCTCCTTGTCCTCTCACAATAATTATATTCTTCTTTTAACAATAAACAAGTAGTGGTTATAAAATGGCAATTGAGTAATAGGGTGTCAAATAAGGACAAGTCATCCATCCGGATTTTGTCTTGTGTATTGCTAGAATTTGATGTCTAATAACTTTTTTTATTAAAAAAAAAATTGGATAAACTTTTGAATTTTTCAATTTGTTTTTTTTATAAATGAGTTTGATATATTTTAAGTGAGTCTAAGCCACCACCACCACTAACACCCTTTTGTTCCTATTTTGATTGTTGAAGTAGACGATTGAACACTCACCTTTATTAAAATAAAATCTGAGGTTCCATTTGATTTGGATCAAAGTAGTCAATTTAAGTTATTTTAATCTTGTTACTTTCGTTTCTATTTGACTGCTAAAGATTGAATCGATGGATTTGGGTCAATAAAATTAATAGAAAAATATCAATTGGACTAGCAGAAAGAATTAAAAAATTATTTTCATCCAACAAACAAATGTTTTCTGGACGGGTTTATATTATTTTTTAATGTAAATAATTGTTTTTTACAGGATAAATCAATAAATTTTTTATATTATTTTTTTAATGTAAATAATTGTTTAGAATATTTGACAGGATAAATCAATAAATAAATACTAACCTCACGCATCGATCAATGTGCCATCACATTTGTTGTTATCTGATACACGACGGTGGCTTGGCGTGTCTTCCTGCTCATTTATGGCCCACGTGCAAAAATTGTTCGAGAAGAATAAAAAAGGGAAGAAAATTTTGTCGGCACAAAATAAATGATTGATATTTTATCCATATTTTATAAAAAAAATGACATGATAAATAAATAAATTTGATTTATTTAGTATAATGTTTGTACTCATTTATTTGATGTAATGAAATTTTTTTTATAAAAAAAAAATATGATAAATAAATAAAACCCATTCATCGCTGCTATCGTAGCACTGCTCCTTGTGAACATTCATCCGTCCCCTCAATTCTTATTTAGATAGGCATACGTGTCCTGTTCTTGGAGGAGCAAGTTGGACCCGTTTTGGAGATTTCCTCCATTCACAAAATAGGTACGGAATTGGGTAACCCAATCGGCAATCCAAATCCCGCGTCTACAAATTCCATTAAATTATGCCCACAACTCCTGCGTCTCATCTCCCTCGAGGGGGAAACGATTAGGAGAGCCTTTGGTCGAGAAGCGAAAAGGGCAAAGAGAATTAAGAGAGACTCGTGATGGGTTTCTCCAAATCGATCGCTTTTATTGTGCTTTTTGATCTGTTGTGCTCGGCACGCATCGCCAGATCGGATCTCGATGGTGTCGTGGGGTTCCTGGAGAGGGCCAAGGAGCCGGAGTTCTTTGATTGGATGGTGGGCGTGCGGAGGAGGATCCACGAGAACCCCGAACTCGGCTACGAGGAATTCTCGACCAGCGAGCTTATCAGGAAGGAGCTTGACGCCTTGGGAATCCCTTACCTGCATCCCGTCGCCGTCACCGGGGTTGTGGGCTACGTCGGAACCGGGAAGCCTCCGTTTGTCGCCCTCAGAGCCGACATGGATGCCCTTGCGATGCAGGTCTTTCTTTAAAATAGTTTTTTTTTTTTTTTTTTTTGTGGTATAGGGATTGGGCAGGAATTTGATCGAAGAGATCCGTTTGACTTGTCTTGGAGTCAGTCTTTACGTGCTCAAGTATAAAAAGGGGAATTTGCTGTTTTATTAATTTTCAAGTTTTTTTGTCTTTCATTGACATAGATGGAATATATACAATTTTTTCGGAGATCAAGTGATTAGGATCTCTATTTCGGTAGTGCCGCCGGTTTTTAGTGTATGGTGTCTTTGCTTGAATGGGTTGAATCTGTCTGTTGTCACGCTAAAGTTTACATCTTTGGCAGTCTCTCCTTTATTTCATGTCGTTGATGTTGCTATGAGCAGGAGGAAGTGGAGTGGGAGCACAAGAGCAAGGTGCCTGGCAAGATGCATGCATGTGGCCATGACGCACATGTTGCTATTCTGCTTGGTTCTGCTAAGATCCTTCAAGAGCATCGTGATGATCTACAGGTTTGTCATTCCTTATTAAATCAATGTGTTTCTGTGATGTAATCTTAACAAATGTTGGGCTGTTTCTTTTGGGAACAAAAGTCTACAGAACACAAAATGTGTGGTCTTAGTTTTATTCATTTAATCAACACAATATTTTTTTTGAATTTGTGGTACATGGCTTGCCAACTTCCATTTTCTCAACTATATTATTGAGGCAATTCTTTGCAACTGAGATAAGAATAAGTTCCCTAACCAATTCAGTCTTAATTACTTTTTATTCCTTGATGTTGCCTATAATGTAGCCTTTAGAATAGATAGTATCAAACAGTTGACATGTGCAGGAGAGTTTACGTTTGTCTATATCACAGTCCAGAATACAGGAAACAACTTCTGTATATTTAGAGGTAAAACTGCTCCAGACGCCGCATTGGTGGGGAGCCTTGTGCATTGGGTACACACATTTTTAGAGTCTAATGTGATTCTTTTGGCCTCTACAATGATTTGCTCAGTGTGTTTGCTGAAACCTTGAAATTTGATTTGTTTACTAAGAAGATGCTTCTTGTTTTCCTTTAGTTAACACATTTTCTGATGATGTAAAGTCTAGACTGATTTTCCGATTCTATATATTTTAACTGGTAAGAACAAATCTTTTATGATGTGAAATTCTTCTGATTCTGTTTATATGTTTTAACAGTTGACTGATAATAAAATCCTTTTTGTACCTACTCATTCTCCCTGGAGGCTTCATCAAGTCAATTTTATTCTCTATAGGTTGCAAATAAATATTTTTATCCATATTGTATTTTCCATGTTAAAAAATTGCCTAACTTACCAAATATTTTGCCCAATCTCATTTTTGACATGATTATGATCATCAAGGAGGACTCTTCAACAAGACTTGATCAATTATGTAGTCATTTTTGCTTGAACTTCTCATTAGTACTGTTTCCATTTTCAAAGGCAAACCCATTGTGTATGTGAAGTACTTCTGTTTTACTAAAAGCTCAGTTGTCTTGAAATCTTTTTCCAGTCATACTTGAGAATATAGAGGATTTTTTTTTTCATAACCATCTAATGTCTTGATGTTAAGTTTTTAAAACAATTAATTTTAAGTTCATTAACAACGCATGAGGCATGAAGTACTCTAGATCATCTGGGCATGCTTAGTACAATGGCTCTAGGGGATACTATGCCAGGCAGTAATATGCTAGAAATTGCAAACTGTCATTATTGCATTGGGACTTAAGTAATGCTTAGAGGTTTTTTACTGGAGTGATACATTAAAAGAAATTATTTGTTTCTTGATAGATATTGTTAAGCTGTGCTGTTGTTTTATTACTTGGAAATATCTGGACATGTCAGTTGATCTTCTCCCAGCTGTAAATTCTATAATATTCCATACAATAACATCAACCTTTCTCTGATATAGTTCACTATTTAAACCAAGGTCTGTAATTTCGTACCGTACCGGAGTTTCGACGTTCGCTCGGTACGGTACGAAACTGTATACCGAGCGGTATACCATTCGGTATACCGCTTGATATATATATATATGTATGTATATATATATATATATATGTATGTATATATATATA